AAGTGTCTTTAGTAAATATTAGTGTTTTCTTAATCATTTTAGGCTTTAACATGTAAATGTTTGATTGTCCTGAAAAAAACGTTTTAAACGGCGTTTAAACGTGGACGCGTTTGAATGTTTGCATGTCTAGCTGCAACTATGAACTCTGGAGCGACAGACCCAAATTGCAGCTCCTGCAAGCTAGAGAACTGGGATCCTTGTTGCGCAAGACCTAGAGACGGAAGATGCTGCTGCAATGAGACATAGTCATTCACATCGTCTGGAAGAACACCAACTCGTCCTTGAGCTATCCTGCCCGCCTTGACCTCCACCTCTCATTCTGAAAGGTTGTTTAGACTACAAACTAAGTTCACTCACACGCTTGAGGTCCCCGGTTCAAACCCGGGCCTAATCAGTTTTATTTGAAGTTTTTAAGACAGATGGAGCTAAGATGTAAAATTTAGGTGAGATTTTGTGGGCATATACCATAAGAATATACTCTTTGGTGACTTAAGTAATACTGAACCAACGTAAGTTGAGTTAGGATTTTTCTGGTTAGGTGCGCATTTGTGAATGGGTCCATTGTCATCATCACACCTCATCTTTGACTTTCTAGAGAGCAATCATCACACCTATCATCTTTGACTTTCCAAATGTTTGAAGACTAGATAACTATGCAACTTCAAGTAGTAGTTCTAGTGTGAAACCCCAGTGTGAATCTCATGACAATACTTACATGTCCAGTGCCACTCTGCTCGTATCACATGCTTCCAGCTCCAGCATTCGCGGCGTCCTCCAATTCCTGCCATGACTACATGAACCCTGAAGAAACCCTAAAGAAACCTTTGTCTCTTTTCGCAAATAGTGCAAACGCGTTGGGAGTTTAGAACGGCATTTTTTAACGCGTTTAAAATGTTACGTTTTTTTAGTTTCATACGTTTTCCAGCAACTATGCCAGAGTTCTTCTGGGTTCCTTTCACCCAAGAACCTCTCACAAATGACTCAGTGTATTATGTCATGATTCAAAGACCCTCTTCCTCAGGTATGATTTCCTCCTATTATCTCATCAGACTTCTGATGCTTGGAAACTCGTGGAGAGGGTGAAACAATCAGGGGTATCTGGATGCATTCTGCTTGTGGGGGTCAGTGGCTGTGGTAAAACTTGTAAAGTCTATGATTATGGAGGTGCTGCTTGACGGGAGGCTCGGTACAGCGGTCTGCATTGCAGGGACGAGCATCAGCGTCCTGCAGATGGAACTGGATAGTTATATCATGTCAGGTGTGGCCAAAACTGTGAACGGGCCCCCTGGATTCGTAACAAGCTTCGACAAATGGGAGAGGGCGGTGGATGTCTACAACTTCTGCGAAAAGTATTTGAAGATGCTTGGCCTTACAGCAGCCAACTGCAGCAGACTGTTTGAAAAGTTCAAGGGTAGAAAGCGTTGGTTGGTGACTTGTTTGGAGCTGTTGATGAAAAACGGAAGCTGGAGCAAATCCATTGTGGACGACTTCTATGCTCAACTCACGACCTGGGATTCCAGTGACTACAGGATGTCCATATATACGCTGGTAGCTCAATTCTTTCAGATTGGGAAGGGCAGTTTCACAGTACTCTGGGTAAGAAGTCGTTGTCACTTTCTCTAACGTCATTGAGTACATGCACTTAGGATTTGTTGTCCCCTTGCTTGATCCCATTCCATCTAATACTTCATATATTCAGATTCTTGGCATCCCTGCCAAGCTCACCCACATTTCGTCGTATCTCCTTCCCTTCCTCCCAATTCATCAGAACTTTGACAGCCTCCTCGATCACTGCCTTGTCAATAACTCCGTCTTGTCTCCTTCGCAGGCTCAATGCGAGCTTCTTCTCCAGAAACGCAAAGTTCAGATTCTGCTTGGATAAACACGGCCAGCCAATCATCGCCACGCCCGTGCAAACACTCTCCAGCGTCGAGTTCCACCCACAGTGAGTGATGAATCCACCCACAGCAGGATGCCTCAAAACATGATCAAATTCATGATCACTAACAACATTTACTCGAGGCTCACGAATGTCACAAACTCGCTTCTGATCGACATTGCCTCATGGCTTCTGAGTTCAAGGTTGGTGATCAAATTTGGTTATTTCGGCATAACATTCAGACTACTCGTCTATTTGGTAAATTTGACTATCAATGCCTTGGTCCCTTTTGCATCTCTGATTGCATTCATGAGGTTGCATATCAGTTGTATCTTCCTTCAACCATGTGTTTTCATCCTGTCTTCCATGTTTCTCTGCTTGAACCATACATTGCTAACGACATCCCAGGTTGAGTCATCCCGAGATCGATGGTCACTCTGAGTACGAAGTTGTTGGGATCCTAGATTCCAAGATCCTTCAACATTGACTGTACTACTTCATTGACTGGGTTGGCTAATCCTCAAGTGATTGGACATAGGAACCCTTAGAAAATTTAACAAATGTTTCAAGTAAACTATCTGACTTCCATATGCTCAAACCAGGACCAATGATTTGTGGAATTCGTCATGGAAAAGGGGGATAATGTCATGGAACCAGTATATATGGACACATTCTGTCTAACACTCCTATTCTTTAAAAAAATTTCTCTGTAAGATTCCTTGAATATTCCAACATACTCCGGAAGCTTTTCAAGCAAGACTCCAAGAAGCTTCCTCGGTTTCTTCATACAGAAGACTTCCCAAAATAGCAAATTTAAGTTTAAGTCCAATGTAACCACCACATTCTCAAATTAGCAAGTTCATCTTCATTCCCGATTTAGCAAGTTCCGAAACCTTCCAGTGCACCTTCTGTGAAGCTTCCTAGCACGCTGAGGGCGACTATATAAGGAGAGCCCCAGCGAGAGTTTTAATATTCCTGTTCAACGCCAATTTCAGGCTTCCGTCTCCAGTCTTCAGCATAGGGTCTTCCTACTTCTTGTTGCTCGTAATCCTATCCTCGTTCCTGTGGCGACCGCTGCAACACACTTTTCTCACTCCATAAGTGCAATCTGGAATGATTGTGCTGTGCTGGCATTGGCATTCTCATGGGGAACTCCCGTAGGTGGTTCTCCCATGGTGATGCGGCTCATATAATCGGCTTGCTTGTGCAGTCTTCCTGTCAGCATATGATCTGAAAGTCAAGTTCTTGCAACAACAAGGAACCATCACGTCAGTCTTCCTGTGTGCCTCGTTTTCTTCAACAAATGTACAAGTGCTTATGATCCACGATGAAGCGTTGGAATATGTGCTTCACAGTGCCGGCTTCAGTGGCCTAGTAATCCTCCGGACGGAAGCAATGTCGCACTATGAGCACGGGCAGTGGAACTCGGGTGGCACCTGTAACAAGACCAAGCCTACAGCAAACCAGAGCAGTGAAGTCACTTGGACGCCAAGCGAGATGAGGAGATTACAACTTGAAGCGTCAAGGGAGGTGCTTACTTGTTTGCTAGAAGGTAGTGTCTGAACTTCTTTACCGAGTACATCATGCTAAGTGCCTCTTTCTCTGTGGTTGTGTCATTGCTCTCTGCGGGTGACAACCTCTTAGATCCATGATTGTTCCTGTCATCCCGGGTCTGTATCAGGATGCACCTGATTATGATGTCGGTGACGTTTACCTCCCCATGAAAATCCCTGTCCCACCTCAGGGAGGCAAGGATGGGTGCATTTGTGAGTACACTCTTCAACTCCCGAAAGCTCTCGTCACATGCTAGGTTCCACTTGAACCATGACATGGTCACCAGACTTTATGAAGAAAACACATTTCTCTAGGTTCAACACGATCTGGAACCCTTGGCATTTCACATCAAGAGATACTTCCTGAATGCTTCTGACACCAGTTACTGGAATGTAAATGATGTATTGCATAGCCCAAACGACATGACCTGTTAAGTGTATGCTCATCATGGACTAATGAACGCCATTTTTGGTTGGTCACACTCTTCCACTTGCAGCCGGTCAATCCATCTAAAAAAGAGTACATGTTATGGCTGGCCAGCACGGCAAGAATCTCCTCTGTATATGGGATTCGGTATGCATCTTTTTTGTGTGACTACATTCAGCTTCTTGTAGTCCACACAAATGTGCAGCTTCCATTTCTTCTTAAGCACCACCACAATAGGTGACAGCCACTGTGCATTCTCCATCAATTTCCTTCTTGACTTTAACAAATTAAGTTTGGTTCATCTTATACGCTTGCTGTCTCCATGCTTCACCATTAGGGATGAGCTCTATTTGATGTGTGTAAATCACAGGTCCTTCAGGTCCTTATAGCTGCAAGCAAAAAGATACGAACCTTGTGTTCGCTGGCAGTTCTGTGGTTGATGGTGACTTCTAGTTGCTCATTAGTTGTTGTCTCCATCTGCATGGCAACCACGTTAAACTAATTGTGTTCTGTCTCCGGCTAGATTTCCTCCACCACTGGCCATACAAATTTCTCAATTCCGAGTGCAGCCATGTTTTCCAATATGGCGTTCACATGTGTCATTGTGATCTGGTACAAATCTACCTGCTCAATCTCCACCACTTCCAGTTAGTTCCAAAACAGCGCGTCTTTATCCTCCATGGTGAACCCGTCATACCAGTTGTAATCTTCCAATTTCTGTGGTTGCTCCATGTTGCCTATCTGGGTCTTGTGCTCACGGATGATAATGACTGTCTTCTCATTCTTCTCCCAGTCGTGTCATGCTTTGGCCTCTCTTAGCCACGTTCTGCCCAGCAACAAATGGTAGGGAGTTTTAGCCGTGGACATTTTCAGGACTGCTAGTGAAAGCTTCAACATATTCCGTTGATGTTGATTTTCACTCCGGCACAATCCCAACCGGATGCACCTAGGAATGGGGCCATCTCCAGTGCCCCTGGTCCCAGTGTCTTGAACATTTCCTCTTCTTGTATTGACTTCCGAACCTCCATCAATAGGTATATCACCGACTTCATTCCTTTCGATATAGTCGGTACTTTCTCATCCCAGTCAGCTTTGTCCTTTGAGATTGTTACCTTGTTATCTTCTAAGGGTCTCACAGGTTTCCCCAACTCAATGGCATTTGCAACCTGCACTTTGAGGTGCAGAGCTAACACAAGCAATTCCCCCAGACTGAGTTGCAGGGAGTTTTGCAACAGCACCGCCACAATTTGTTCTCCCAGTGGTGTTGTTTTTGGTGGTGGGTTACTCTCAGGCTCTGTCAAGTTAATGAGAGGAGTCTGTTCACTTTAAGGGATGAGGAAGGATTTGACCCGGAAGATGAAGATAAGGCAAAGACAGCAATCCTTTCCAAGCTAGTGGATGTGATCTTGATGAGGGTAAGGAATCTTTCTGCTCAACAGATCTGGATCTACCTCATAAATCACTACGGGCCTCCAAGGTCAGCATGATCGAAACTGCAATCAAGGAACTGAATTCAAGATTGGTGACAGTTTTGAAGATCTGGTGGACAAGCTGCAGGAGCATTGGGATGACCTGGAAGGCTGCGCTGTGGGATTCTCTGAAGCATGCAAGATTGATGCTCTTTGTGAATGTTTTGATGACAGAGTTTTCACAGAAATCGTCACGGCAGTGAGGGTAGCAGCCACAATGTTCGAACATGCTGAAACTCTTCTCCGCTCAGAGCTCACATAGTGTAAGTTCTTGGCAGAGAACGGATCAGGTTCTCATGTCAATGCTTTGTCAGCGAGAGTTGAGGCAAGGGTTGAAGAAGCTTCTGCAGATGGCCATGGTCGAAGGTGAGGGTGCGGCGAGGACGTGGACACAGAATTCAAGGACGCCCAAGCAGTAGTCAAGGAAGCTTACAAAGTGATGGAACTGACAATCTTGGAGCTCGTCGTGCTTCAACATGCTATGGCTGTGGATTGGAAGGGCATCTCAAGAAAGATTGTTGAGTTCTGCAGTGAGATTACAGCAAATTTTGCAGGTTCAGCTCAAATAGAACAGCAGGAGACAGTCACAGACGAGGTAACCAGAGCTGAATCCTCTTGCACACTAACACTTAATTCAGGATGTGAAAAACACCTGATAGAGGATGAGCAAGCGTTCTCCAAGCTCAAGCGCTCACTAGCAGGTCGAGTTCGAGTTTGAAATGGTGGAGTTGTTGAAGTCTCTGGAAATGGTGATGCAGTGGTGCAAGTTGGTTCGAAGAGCTTGCCTTTGAATAATGGGTGGTTTGTCCCACAACTTGTCAAGAACTTAGTTTCAATAGTTAAGTTTACTTATGCTGGGATGAACATTCTGTTTAAACTCTAAGAAATTTAAGATCTCTTCAAACGGCAAAATAAAATTTTTTAGTCCTAACCTTTATGAAGTTCAGAGCTCTTCGGTTGCAAGCAGTGCAGGAGATGCCCATCATGGGGATTTTGATGGGCAACTACGTTTCTCACTACAGATGCCCAAATGTGGCATGAGCGTTTGGGGCAAGTCAGCCTCTCAACACTTAGGGCGATGCACAGGGAGCAGCTCGTGGAGGGACTTTCTAGAGTGACAGGCCAACCCAGGCTGCATCACAGCTGTGTCTTGGGAAAGCTCACGCGATGGTTGTATCCTTCTTCAACGTCTGCAAATTTACAAGTCTTAGAACTCGTCCACACTGATCTTTGTGGTCCAATGCGGACTTGGAGCAAATCCGGCAAGCGCTACTTCATGACTTTCGTGGATGACTTCAGGCATAGGTGTGAGGTGTATTTCCTCAAGGAAAAGGCATATGAAATTCATGCCTTTCGGGATTTCCTCTCCTTCGCAACCAATCAAACAGAACACAGCCTGAAGATTCTCATATCAGACTCTGGAGGAGAGCATCTATCACATGCCTTTGCTGATATTTGCTCTGAGAAAGGCATCATTCACCAGAGGACTTGTCCAGACACTCCTCAGCAAAATGGAGTCGCCAAACGAAAGAACCTGAATATCATGAACACAGTCTGCTGCTTGCTCGAAGATTCAGGATTCCTGCTAAGCTTCTGGTCTGACATTGTCCTCATGGCTGTTCAGGTTCAGAATCTCTCGACAAAACCTGGAAAAATTCCGGAGGAGGTCTGGACCAGAAGAAAGCAGGACATCAGCAGACTGAGGAAGTTCGGTTGCCTCGCTTTTGTTCGATTGATTGGAGGTGGAAAGCTTGACACACGAAGTTCAGCCTGCTATGTCCTAGGCTATAAACCTGGCATGAAGGGCTGGCGATTTTACAATCCGGAGAGTAAGCGAGTTTTCACAAGTTCTGATGATGTGTTTGATGAATGCGATGTCTACAAAACGAGACATCAACTGGATCCAGCAACTTCAACCTTGGGAGCCAGAAGACTGGAACTGGGAGCTGTACTTTGACGAAGAGATGACAGTCATCACGAGGAGAATGATCCACTGGAGGTTTTCTCACAGCATGAGGTTGGTGAGTTCCTCCAAGAGACACCAGCGGATCTAGTGCTCGAGCAACAAGCAGGTTCGTCACGCGTGCCAGAAGTTGACAGGACTTGCCATTTGATCCTCTCCGCTATGGTCGGAATCAAGAAGGCAAATCCACCCGAACCCGTCTGTGAGCTTTGACGGCCCTGACAAACGAAGAAGAAGCATACACGCCATCAACATATGAAGAATCGAGCACCTCACCAGCGAGCAAATACTGGGAGCGAGTGATGAATGAAGAAGTTCAATCTCACAACGACCGCCTCATGTACTTGCTCGTTCATCCTCATCCTGATCGCAAAATTGTAAGCGGATGATGGATCAACAAACTCATGTGGCGGGATGGCAAGATTAAGCAATACAAAGCTCGGTATGTTTCTCAAGGTTTCTCACAAATTCTCGGGATTGATTTTCAAGAAACCTTCTCTCCCATCGTCAAGTCAACGAGCATTCGTATTCTGGCAGCATTAGCAGCTCAGTTCAACCTCAAACTCCACGTCAAAACTGATCCTTAACTCTGGACTTGACGAGAAAATTTATGGCCACCCCCAGGTTTTATGGAACACAACAAAGATGGACACGAGTTAGTTTGGAGAGCTATCTACAGGCTAAAACAGATGGCGAGGCAGTGGTACTATCGATCAACACCTCAGAAGTTCTGGATTCACCAAGCTGGAGTTGGATGGGAACCTCTATGTGATGAAAGATAGTGGCAATATTCACATTGATGGCAGTTTATATCGATGATTGCCTGCTGGTTGAAAATAGCAATGACCTCATCAATCGAGTGAAGCAGATTTTGCAGCAGCGACTGATCTCGGTGAAGCTTCTAGAGTCCTTTGCATTGAATTCACTCGCAACATAGATTCAGGCCTTCTGAAGTTCACCCAATCCAACTACACACAACGTCTGCTTCAACAATTCAACATGTCCAATAGTCGACCAGTTTCCACACTAGCTTTTTCAGATGCTGATTGGGCAGGGGATCTGGAGACAAGGAAATCAACGTCAGGAGTCTGTTGCTTGCTTGCCGGTGGTTCTGTAGCATAGTTCAGCAAGAAACAATTCAACATTGCACTATCGAGCGCTGAAGCAGAGAATTTGGCAGCAACATTGGTAGCAAAAGAGATTGTTTGGCTGTGATGACTACTCAATGAACTGAAGCAGGAACAGAAGAGTTCAACAACACTCTACTGTGACAACAAAAGTGCAATCGCCATCAGCAAAAATCTTGTTCTTCATTCCAGAACCAAACACATCAATACTCAGTAGCACTTCATCCGCCAATGCGTTGCAGATGGAGACATACAACTCGAGCATGGTCCATCCTCTGATCAAATCGCAGATATCTTCACCAAACCACTTCCTGTCAGACTCTTCTTCAAGCTTCGTCTGCTGCTTGGCGTCTCAGCTTGAGGGGGAGTGTTGGAGATCTCATATGATCTCTCAGGATCCTAACCACTTAGGCTTCCGTATAAAAGGTTTCATATGATTAATCCATAACGAATTTTTCCATCATCATGGTGAAGACAATGGTGTAGGTTAGGCTCTCAGAACTTTGTTGACGAATTATGTTGCAGCACAACGTTGAGGTATCGATCAAAACATTTCTTTCATTTTTCATTCATTTTTTAATCGATCAAGAAGATGCGGAAAGGATACGGACGAGTGAGCTGGAAAAGTGTTTTGGGAAGATGGGAGATGATGTTTTGAAGAAGAACAGGAAGCTGATTGAGCAGGGGGATTCTGAACAGCAGCAGGAAAACAAGATTAAGCAAGATTAAGTCAAGGAAAACAAGGTGGCGAGCTGGTATGGTTAGTATGGCAGGAAATTTGAAATTTTAGGATGAAATCAATTTCCTTTGTGATAATCAGTTTTATTTGCAGTTTTTGAGCTAAGATGTAAAATTTAGGTGAGATTTTGTGGGCATATACCATAAGAATATACACTTTGGTGACTTAAGTAATACTGAACCAGGAGGCTTGAGTTGAGTTCGGATTTTTCTGGTTAGGTGCCCATTTGTGAATGGGTCCATTGTCATCATCACACCTCATCTTTGACTTTCCAGAGAGCAATCGTCACACCTATCATCTTTGACTTTCCAAATGTTTGAAGACTAGATAACTACGCAACTTCAAGTAGTAGTTCTAGTGTGAAACACTACTACTAGCTAATGTATATATAGATGATTGACCCATTGGCTTCAACACACATTCAAAATTTTCTCCTTCTTTTCAGCTTGAACAGTCGGCTCTATGGCAGCCAAATTAGTGGGTTTGGTTTACTTCATATTGATGTTCTCTGCAGCAAAAGGCAGTGGGCTTTTTGCATACTGGGAGAACGAGGATTGTTCCGCCACTAACAATAACAGGATTTTCTATGGCAATTGTGGATGTACAAACTTCGATATCGATTATCGTGATGGTTATGAATTCTTCTACAACCGAAACGAAGTGACATATTTATATAATAATCTCAATTGTCAAGGCAATCCTGTTACTACACTTGCCCAGTATCAAAAGGATTGCCGTGATTTTGGCTGGAAGAGCATCCGCATATCTTGTAATGGCTTCTGATATAATTAATGATCAATTTTGTATGCACAAGAGAATATAATAAGAAGAATTCGGTGAGTTAAATTTCTCAAGTCTCAAGCCGCGAGCAGACCACCTTGCCCTAATCGAAAGAACTCGAGCAGCAATAGGCGCCGCGGCCATGCCCCCCAAATCTGGAATCCCTAAATTTTAGTCTCAGACTTGAAAAAATTAGGAATATTCGTAAACATATTCCATTTGTGATGATGATTTTCTGTTTTTTCGAAAACATATTTTAAAACAAGCTCATGGTTGTTTTCGAGAGAAAGTGTTGCACAATCTAAATTTTTTCGACTTAAATGTTTTGATGGGACCTCCTGTATGCTCCGAAGAAATGTCGGACTCAATGCAAAAAAGAGTTATTTACTGCAGCTCACCACACTGATCGGACCTTTAGGGTTCTTCATTTCTTGCTTAAACATTCACTGACAGAAGCTTTTTCAAGTTTACCATCTGATCTTTCTGCAGGGTCACAGTCACGCCCATATCTCCTGCCTTTGACCCCGGAATCACTCGAATCACGCCTTCCATGTGGGATCCAATCGGCCCAGCAAAACTGGGATGTCCAAATCCAAAATCGACATCGTTCCACGGCAGTCCTGACCACCCCGTTATGAGAACATTAGGATCGTATCCAGACGCGCCCATCCTGCTTCCCCCGGCCGTGTTGGGCTTCAGATTCTTGGAAACGTAATCCACCGCCGAAATCATATGCTGCTTGTTGTCGGTTTTCTTCAAACTCGCCTTGACAATCCCCGCTGCGTAGCTCAGAGGTTTGCGAATCAGATCTTCAGATGCAATGGCATCCGTTGCGGCAGGAAACACTACATTCCAACGAAGCTATCAGGAACTCCCAGCGTTTTCCTTCCGTTGATCGGGCAAAGAAGAACCGTTCTAGGGTTACAGGTTGTACCGCGAGCGACTGTCACTGATCTCCACAAACTCTTCCCATGAATCCTTCACCACGCACTTGCCTGCATCACAAGGCGTTCAACTCAAAGTGAAGTCAACTCTGGTCAACTCACGTCCCGGGGGAAGTGGACTGGGAAAGCGGGTGACGGGATACTCTTTGTGTTCGAAGGAAGGCTGGCTATGGATGTTAGGCATGGGCATGGAACGGTCGTGAACGGGTTTAGTCAACCATGGTAAACCTCTGGTTGACCGACCCCAGCTATTGAGAAGTGTGACGAATCCATGCGCGTCTGTGACATAGTGATGCCTTCCCAAACCAAGC